GACCCTGTCTCTAAATAAAATATAAAAAGGGCTGGGGATGGGGCTCAGTGGTCGAGTTGTCCCTGAGTTCAATCCCTAGAACCAAAAAAAAAAAAAAAAAAAAAAAAAATTGTGGACATCTGGACTGGGCCAGAATGTCTCGGCAACTATGTGTAGAAGAATAAACATGGTGGCCTGAACACCCTCAAAACACCACCCACCAACCCCACACCATCCTCTGTGTACCGGCAGAACAAACTTCAGGGCTACTAACATGGGCACAATGCCTTCAGGAAAGATAAAAATAAAGGTTTTACCTCATTAAACAGGAACAAACCTGACCTCTGCTTCCGCTCCCCGCCCCCCCAGGCCTTCTCCGTCTGGTCTGCCTCCCTGGCTCCCACCATGATGCCTTGTTCCCTCTTCGGCTTTTCTTTTTGTATTAAGGATTGAACCCAGGGGTGCCGAACGACTGAGCCCCAGCCCCAGCCTGTTTTTTATTTTTTATTTATTTCCTAAAGTATTCCTTTTAGCTATAGATGGACATTATTCTCTTATTCATTTATTTTTATGTGATGCTGAGGGATGAACCCAGCGCCTCACACGCGTTAGGCAAGTGTTCGCCACTGAGCCACAACCTCGGCCCCTTTATTTTTTTATTTTAAGACAGGATCTCACTAAGTTTCTTAGGGCCTCCCTAAGTTGCTGAGGCTGGCTTTGAACTTGTGATCCTCCTCCTTCAGCTTCCCAAGCCACCAGGATTACAGCCCTGCACCACCACACTTGGCTCATCCCCTCTTGGTTAACACCATTTTCCCTGGCAACACCTGGCACCTGCTCTCATTTCCAGGTTCCTTCAGACATCAGCTCTCCCAGAGGCCTCCCAACATCCACAAAATAGGCTCGCTCTTCTGAATCTGCAGAACATGCTGCCAATCTCTGTACCACTGAGCAGGCGTGAAAACAGGGCAACATCCCCTTTTCCACAAGTTGCCAGCTCCAGGGACAAGAGCCTCTGGGAAGGGTGAGCCCAGTGCTCACACGCAGCAGACACCTTTGTCACTCCTGGATGGCTAATCCGACAGAGGCTCTAACAACTTCCTCTGTGAGAGGGTCCCCAGTGTCCAGAGAGAGAGGCCTCCTGCTCCTTGGGACCCAGTTGCATTCTACACAGAGGAGTCTCAACTGGGCCCAGTACTCAGGGCCTCTGCCTCCTCTCTAGGCTGGCAGCATGACATTCAGCCTTCCAGGACTCAGCCCCAGACAAGGCCTCCCTCGTCTCACACAGGCCCCTAACATCGGGAGAAGAGGCCAGCTCAAGATATACACGTAAGGGGCTGGAGCTGTGGCTGTGGCTCAGTGGTAGAGCACTGGCCTAGCACGTGTAAGGCACTGGGTTCAATCCTCACCACCAGATAAAAATAAATAAATAGAATTTTGTACACATCAACAACTAAAAAAGATACAGACAGGTTCTGCATTTAAGCCTAGACACAGACTATAAATAACATAAGAGAACACAACCAGAAGGGTCAGACCCAAACTAACCATTGGTCCTTCTAGCACAGACACTGAGCTGGGGTACATCTAACCCTGAACACTCCCAGTAGCAGGACCAGTGCTCACAGGCACACCTCAGCAGACACAACCACCAAACACCCGGCTCTCAGAAAAGCCTTTCACACCAAGACTGATGCATTCAGTGAATCAAAGGGATTCCAAAAGTCAAAGTCACCTTTTCAGCACAAAAATGGGAGTCATATCTGCACAATGCAAAGATATATGGACCAAGTCGGGTGCTGTTGCGCACACCTGTAATTCCAGCGGCTTGGGAGGCTGAGGCAGAAGGATTGCCAGTTCAAAGCCAGCCTCAGCAAAAGTGAGGTGCTAAGCAACTCAGTGAGATCCTGACGCTAAATAAAATACAAAATAAGGCTGGGGATGTGGCTCAGTTGGTTGAGTTACCCTGAGTTCAATCCCCAGTACCACCACCCCCAAGATATGTGGACCAAGTTCATTGGGCCAAGTAAATGAGCTAAAGGCAGTTAGTCAAAAACTCTAAGCTTCTTCCTCAAACTGGAAACAAAACCATCCTTCAGCTAATGATGGGACCCACTTAGCCATCCACACAACGGAGTGGGAGTTAGCACCAACAGAAAGAGACCACAACATGCCTCCACAGGAGCGAGAAAGAGAGCACAGAACGGCTACTGTCCCCACAGTCCACGGAGTCTGCACAGGCTTCACATGGGTTGTTTCTCTAATTCTGAAAATTATTATACAGGCCCCCTGCCCCCAGAATGGGGCTGGAACCCAAGGCCTCCAACATGCTGGGGAAGAGCTCTGTCAGTGAGCTACATCCCAGCCCTTTTTACATTTTATTTGGTGACTGGGTCTAAGTTGCCCAGGTTGGCCTCAAACTTGCAATCTTACTCCGGCATTGCTCTGGCCTGTGCACATTTTTCTCTTTTTGGTACAAGGGATTGAACCAAGGGGTGCTTTACCACTAAGTTAAGTTCGCAGCCTTTTGCATTTTTTGAGACAGAGTCTAAGTCGCTTAGGGACTTATTAAGTTGCTAAGGCTATGGGGCTGGGGATGTGGCTCAAGTGGTAGCGCGCTCGCCTGGCATGCGTGCGTCCCGGGTTCGATTCTCAGCACCACATACAAAGATGTTGTGTCTGCCAATAACTAAAAAATAAATATTAAAATTTTCTCTCTCTCCCCCTCTCTCTCAAAAAAAAAATAAAAGTTGCTGAGGCCAGCCTTGAACTTGCACGATCCTCCTACCTCAGCCTCCTGAGTCACTGGGATTATAGGCCTGTGCCACTGCACCCAATTTACATTTTACTTTCTAACCATCCCACCTCTTCTCTAGTATTGTTTTTCCTGGGTTGCCATTCATTTTTAATCTACATTCTTGACTTGAAATAGGGACCGATACTGATGCTTTAGAAGGTTTGTGGACAGAAAAGCTAAAACATGCCCCTTTGGTTTCTGACTAGAGTGTCTAACATAGAGCTGTCCAATATGGTGACCACTGGCCATACGTGAACAACAAGTGCAGGAAACAGGGCTATTCCAAATCAAGAGGACTGTAAGTAGAAAACAAAAGTCTCAACTTTCTCCTTATAATTTGTTACTTGCCAAACAGTACTGGGGTCAAATAAGATATATTATTAAAATGAATCTCGGGGCTGGGGATGTGGCTCAAGCGGTAGCGTGCTCGCCTGGCACGTGTGCGGCCCAGGTTCGATCCTCAGCACCACATACCAACAAAGATGTTGTGTCTGCCGAGAATTAAAAAATAAATTATAAATAAATAAATAAATAAATAAAATGAATCTCATTTGCTTATTTTTTTTCTGTATTTTGGAATTGGGCTTGAACCCAGGCGTGCTCTACTTGTGAGCCACAACCCAGCCCTTTTTATTTTCAAACAGAATCTTGCTAAGTTGCTGAGGCTAGCCTTGAACTCACAATCCTCCTGCCTCAGCCTCTTGAAGTGCTGGGATTACAGGCCTGTGCCATGGTGCCTGGCTTTTGTGTATGGCGGAAGGGAACGTTGGGGGATAAAAATTACAAATAAAAATGTACTACTAGAAAAAAAGTAAAACAAGATACTGCTTGGTTGTTTCTGCTGGAGTACAAACTTGGAGCCTCCTGCAGGGGGCAGTCTTCAGTCAGGCATCATTCAGCCCTTCAAAGGGGAAATGGAGCCACCATTTCTGGTCCCACTCCTCCTGTGGTGAAATGACTAGACTTAAGGTTATTTGTCACATAACCCGAGGGTAAGGGGCTCTCTGAAGACAAATGTAAGAGTGTGTGCGTGCGTTCCCAGGACACAGGACCACCAGCATGAGTGCCTCCAAGCGCCTGCCCACTTGTCAGGCAGCTGCAGAAGGAGGGGCTCCCTGAGCTGGCTCATGGACTGATGGGCTAGGTCCTTCCCTTTTTCAAAAACAGCCAATCTCCTAAGACTGTTGTGTACTAGGAGGCGAGGAGGGATCCTGGTCCATCTCCCTCCACCCTCTGGACATGCTGTGTGTCAGAGAAGAGTTCATAGTACCCCAGGCCCTAGTACTGACTCCTTGGGCAGAAAACTACAGACACCAGCAGCTTCAGATGTCACTTGGCTTGTGGATCTTGACACCTCGACTGAGGAGTTCCCTCCTCCAGAGACCTCCCATTACCCCTCCCTCTCTGCATGAAGGTCCCTACAAGCTGCAAGCAACACTGACATTTCCACTGCCTCCTTTGTGTCGTGGGCTGTTTTCCTTTTTTTTCTTGCCAGTACTGGAGATTGAAGCAGAGGTGCTTTACCACTGAGCCACATCTCTAGTCCTTTCAATTTTCTTTTCATTTTGCATCAGGATCTAAGTTGTTGAGGGCCTTATTACGCTGCCTCAAACTTGTGATTCTCCTGCCTGAGTCTCTCCCATTGCTGGAACCCAGGCGTGCGCTACTGCACATAGTAGGCTTGCTCTCTAGGTGATCCTGACATCACAACACATATCTGAAGATACACCAGGCGGTACTCCTTTTACACAGCTATCCCCAGTGAATATAGCAACAGCCTGCTGTGGCCAGAAACAAGATATCCACACACGGACACGCCAACTCCCCTGCAGAAAGGAAAGCAGTCACTGTTGCCTTCTGAAAATGACCCAGCAGCTCATCAATGCAACTGGGAATTCTGGACCTGCATAGGCCAGATGGGCAAGCTGCAGCGCCAAGGCAATGGAAGGGGTGCTTCCCGGTTCCTGTTAGCTCTGGGCCCCCAGACATTACCTTATCCAGGAGCTCTCTCGTCTCTTCAGTGAGGGGGTCATGGGAGAACATGCAGTCATCACCATTAATGCAGTTCCCAGTGGTGTGGTATAACTTACATGGAAAATCACGTTCACGACAAATTAAGGCAAATACTTCAACTCATGGAACCCACCAAAGACAGAATCCATGCCCTTTGTTTTGGAGATGAGTAAACGGAAACCTAGAGAGGTCAAGTGACTTGCTCAGGGTTGCACAGTGGTTGGCAGCTACTCAAGACAAGACATGGTTCTATAGACTCCTGTTGCAGAGCAATTTCTGCCCCTCCAAGGTGGCCTTGGAGTTATGCCCTCAGATCTTCAATGGGAGTGGGGAAGTAACATGACTTGCTCAAGTTTACAAAGCCCGTTGGAAAATTTTCAGAAAGACAGGCACCGGGCACAGGCCAGTCTTGTGAGTTTACGTGAAAGAGGACACAGCAGGTGTGTCCTGGCTTACACGGCAGACCCGGTGTGGGCAGAAGGGGGGTTAGGTGAGATGAAGACCCCAGAAAGCTCTCAGCACAAGGCCAAGCATGATGAAGGGCGCCACAGCGGCTCTACGCAACAGACGCAGATGGCAAAGGATATCGTGCATGTAGGGGCAGTTCTCGGCTCTGGCACAGAATCCAGTGATGTAGAACTTGCACAGTTCTCGCTTCTTTGGCAGTTCAATGTCGTGGCTGAAATTACAGTGGTCTCCCTGGAAGAGAAGCACTAAAAAGGTAAGGTGGCAACAGCAAGGCCTTCCTTGCCCCTTGGAAAGGACAGCCAAGGAACAGCAGGCTAAAACCTGCCCTTGCCACATCCCCATGCCACTGTCTCTGCTGCTTCTCTACAACTCTCTTCTCCGTCTTCCCCCAGTTTTCATCTATTTTTCACTGTTGGCTGCATGGTAATGAGGGCTAGTCACCTACCTGCAACCCAGTACCACACTTCTTCCTTCCTAACAGAACCCTAATTTTGTTTGGGGTTGAATGTGCCTAGCTAAAAATACTTCTTTTCCCAGCCTCATTTGCAATAAAATATAGGCAAAAGTTCCCAGAAAGAATACTTCCTAAATAAAAAAAAAATTTTTTTCTTTCGCTCATCTTTCTTCCTCCTAGACCTTGGATGCGATGTCCAGAGGCACAGCAGCCATTATGCAAACATGAGAATAAATGCCACATGCTTTAAAAAGGTAGAACAGAAAGTAGAAAGGAACTTAGGTCCCGAGGATACCAATGACCACTACAGCATCTTCTACTGCCCATCCCCCCAAGACTCCTTGTTCGGAGACAAATGTCTACTGTGTCCAAGCCAGTAGAGTTAGGTTTTCCTTTACTTGGAGTTGAACATAATTCAAACAAAAGGAATCAAGGTTCTTGTTCTCTGTTCCTCAGCCTTCAGTCCCTTACAGGAATCACTTACTATCAACTGAGATAAAGAAAGCAACTGTTCTTATAACCAATATGGACACCAGTATGGAGGGTCCCCAAAAGATTAGGCATGGAACCACTGTGACCCAGCTATACCATTCCTCAATATTATTCTAAACAATCAAAGTCATCATACTACAGTGACAAATGCATACCCAGGTTTATAGCCAAACTATGGATCCAGCCTAGGTGTCCATCAACAGGTGAATGGATAAAGAAAATGTGGTATGTATACATGATGAAGTTTTATTCAGACATAAAGAAGAATGAAATCATGTCATTTGCAGGAAAACAGATGGAATTGAGACCATTATGTAAAGCAAAATAAGCCAAACCCAGGAGGTCAAGAGTAGTATGTTTTCTCTCATATGTGGAAACTACAGAGGAAAAAGGAAAAACGGGTGACTGTATGAAAAACAAAGGGACAACAGTAGAACAGAGGAAGGGGACAAGGAGTTTGAGATGAAAGCAGGGAGTGGGGAGGTGCTAGGGAGGGATATTGGCCAAGTTATATTGTTGTTGGTTTTTTTTTTTTAAGAACTTAACCTTATTTATTTTTATGTGGTACTAAGGCTTGAACCCAGGGCCTTACCTGTGCTAGGCAAGTGCTCTGCCACTGAGCCACAACCCCAGCCCCTATGTTGTTATACTGTATGCATGTACAAACATGGAACAACAGATCCCACCATATGTACAACTATGATGCACCAATAAAAAAAATAAAGAGGGGCTGGGGTTGTGGCTCAGTGGTAAAGTGTTTGTCTCGCACATGTGAGGCACTGGGTTCAATCCTCAGCACCACATAAAAATAAATAAACAAAATAAAGATATCGTGCCCATGAAAAAAAAAAAAAAAAGAAGCTGTTCTGTATCTGCTTCCTCTATACTTAAGGATAGATACTCCATTTTCTTTGTATTCAAGTTTCTAAAAAGAATATGAACCGTGACTGTAATACAGAATGTTTTATATGCCACACATTATTCTGAGGTACCTATTTCTTCCCAAGACACGTGCATGGGAGCAGCATCCCTGAATGCCCATCAGGACCTGTCACGTCTTTACATTAGTACTGACCCTTATAAATGCATCTGAAGCCATACAGATGGATCAAAGCTTTGGCCGAAAAATATCCCTAAAACTGAAAATATGTTCCCCTGCTCTATGTCCTCATCACTCTGAGAAGTCAGTCGAATCTTCCAGGCCTGCCCAGGTGTCTCTGGGTATCAATACCAAGAACAAAGAGCATCACACGATCTCGTCCACCCACCACAACAGTTAGTATGACCTCCAGGTTATTCAGAGAGGCGACACAGCCTGCTTCTTACCCATGTGCACCGCCCTTCCACAAAGTATTTGCAGATGACTTTGCCTTTCTTGTCAGACTGCTGGTGGGGCTTGTCATGGTCACCTCTGCGGTAGCTTCCCCCACCACCATCCTGTGAAGAATGCAGAATGAGTGAAGGGGGTGAAAAGAGCAGCTCTGGGCAGATGGGAAGAGCACGCAAAGGGAAGGGTGTTCACAAGAACACAGACAAGCACTTCTGACCCACCCTGAAGGGAGTGCAGAGTTTGAACCCATGTGTGGAGTACTGGTGCACACAGGAGAAAGCTCTAGCATTCAGAGCTGCAGGCAGCTGGGATCTTGAGTTCTGTACAGCTGTGTGGGAACATGTCACCTCCTAGAGGAGGAGGCATGGGCCAGCCTCTAAGACCCTGGTGGACTAGCTGAATGGGTCACCAACGTCAGACTCGCTGAGATGCTGCAGATACTGCTGAAGACATTTTTTTTTTTTTTTTTTTTTTGGTACTAGGTACTAAGGAATGAACCCAGGGGCTCTTAACCACTAAGCCACATCCCTACCCCTTTCTGTGTTTTATTTAGAGACAGGGTCTTGCAAAGTTGCTTAGAGGGCACTGCTAAATTGCTAAGGCTGGTTTTGAACTCGACCTCACAAACTGCTGGGATTATAGGTCTGTGCCAGTACCACTTTCCCAGCTGAAGACATGGTTGTAAATACAAAGGGTCTACCAGCACTGAGTCCCCAGGACAGACATCATCAGCCCCAGGGGTGAGAGCCAATGGGAGTAGGAGGGCAGGATCAGCCTCAAGGAATGACTCATTAAAGGGGTTAAAAAAAGGCTGAGCATGGTGATGCATGCCTATAATCCCAGCACCTCCAGAGGCTTCAACAGGAGGATCACAAATTCAAAGCCAGACTCACCTCAACAATTTAGTGAGTCCCTATATCAAAATAAAAAAATAAATGGGCTGGGGATGTGGTTTGATGGTAGAATATCTCTGAGTTCAATTACCCCTATCAAAGGGAGCGGGGAAATCCCAGAAGGGGCCCTAGCCAAAACCATCAGCTCAGAACAAGGATCAACTCACGCCCATGTCGTCGTCATAGAAGTCCTCATCATCGTTCATTCCGCTCTTATTCATCCCTCCACGACTTCCACCTCGACCACGACCCCGGCCCATGCCTTTCCCTCGGCCTCGGGAACCCCGGCCCCGGCCTCGACTCAACCCTGCAGAATGAGAGTGGGTTAGCCTGCTCCCCTTCCCAGGGCCTGAGTCCAGCAGCAGCTACCAGCCCCCAGCAACACAGGGCACCTGAGGCCCCTGCCCACCTCGGCCTCGGCTGTCCTTGGACCTGCGGTACTGGTTCAGCTCCTTGGAGTACTCATCATAGTCATCATCGCCCATTGGCTCCTCGCTTTCTCCATACTGGAATTCCAGAAAGACAGAAATGGCAAGAGAGTGTCACAGAGGAACAAGGAACATTCCCTACACACCCTGCCTCCTAGGCACTGGAGTGCGGCTGCCTCAACAGTGGGTGGTCCTGGTCCTTCCTGTGCAGCCCTCATTGGGGAGACTCCTGCCTCCCAGCCACTGGGCAGAACCAGTAAGGCACACTATGGACAGCTGTCTGGCTATAAAAGAAGTGGCGGCTCATTGGGTCCTGGCTCAGAAAGGCCACAGAATGGTGACCTTGCAAGGCAGGAACAGAACACTGCATGTCTTCTGTAGGGGCAAGGAGCCTAAACACATATTCCTGGGCCTGGGGATGTAGCTCAATGATATAGCATTTGCCTAGATGTGTAAGGCCCTGGGTTCAAGCCCCAGGAAAGAAAGAAAAACAAAGAAAGAGGGAAAAATAAATGAAACTTGTCTCCAAGGACAAGGTTGCTTCACAACTAACCCTTAGATACTTTTGCCATTTCAAACCATATGAAGGTTTTATCTAATGCAAAATGAACATTTTAAAGCACATTAACCAGCTACTCAAGGCCTTCCTTTCCTTCAGAATGTTCCTGTGTCCTTCCACCTTAGCCAGAGAGCCCACTCTTGTCACTCCAGGGCTACAGAAAACCTTACTTCCATCTCTTCCTCGTAGAAGTCCTCTTCGTCCTCGGGGTGGTCTCCCACAGAGCCTCTGCCCCGGCCTCGGCTGCCCCTGCCCATGCCTCGGCCTCGGGATCCTCCACGGCTTCCTCGGCCCCTGTAGCCTCTGCCCCGGCCTCGGCTGCCTGCACAGGGATTGGAATAGAGAGCCTGATATCAGAGCAGATCCCATCAGCAAGAAAGAAGATAACTCATCTCCTGCCGCTCAATCACTGCATCTTCCTGCTTCTTCAGGAATCCTCCCAGCCTCCCTGGAAAGATTAAAAGTCCCCTGGTTCCTCAGCACTCCTGACATACAGCTACTACAGAACTGACAACCCTGCTTCATGGGTACCGGCCACTTAGCTGTTCAACATAGCAGCCACCAGCCACAAATGGCCAACAAGCACCTGGAACAGGCTAGTCCAAGCTAAGAGAGGCACAGAGCCCAAATCAAACACTGGTTTCCAAAGACTTAGTGGGGAGAAAAAGAGACAGAGTGTATAATATCCCACGTGTCTGCTTTGAGTTCATACTGAAACACACTCTGAATACACAGGTTGATTAAACTGGTTGTTAACCTGTTTCCTGGCACTTTGTCAACGTGAACACTAGAATATGAGAACTCATGAGTGGCTCACATTCCAATGCCACTGGACAGCACCGGTGGAGGGTTTCCCCAAATCACAGAGCCTGCCCCCGGGAAACAAATGAAGGTTGCTCTAACAAAAAGCTGGGCCTAAGGCAGGGTCACAAGGCTAAGAACCTCTGAGCTGTAAGATTCTGGAAGCCCCTTGGGCTGGCTGCCCTTCTGGCAGGAGACAGTTCTAAGAGATTAGGCTGGGCTGCTGTCACAGTGCTCAGCCCTCCCCTATCTTCCTGGCCACAGGTTCAAGGTTCAGAGGTGATGGCAGCTGCACTGTCAGGTAATGGGAGCAGGGAGGGCTGGGGATGGGCAGTGCCACTGAGGGTTTCAGCAGCCAGTTGTTATTATCCTAGTCCAGGTGACAGAGACATTAAGCTGTCCCTTCTCACTTTCTTCAGAGCTGACCAGAAAGTGAATTTAAAAAGAAAACACCCTCAGCCACGCTGGCCTCCTCCCGGCCTCCTCCCTGCCACTGCCTAGCTGGGGATCCTCTTCCCACACTCCTCTGTGGCTAACCTTGGTCCCTGTACCCTGCGTAGTTCCCAGAACTTCTTTATCTATTTCTCTCACCCCTAAACAGCTGCCTGCATCTCCTCCTGGACATGAGGAGCTCCATGAGCAGGGCCTGTGGTCAGCCTGGCTCTGCGTGGTTCCTGCCCGGCAACCACTTAGCCCTAGAGAAGAATCTGCTGGAAGGGCTCACCTCGGCCCCGGCTGCTGCCCTCCTTGGCACGCCGGTACTGGTTCAGCTCTTTGGTAAAGTCGTCGTAGTCCTCCTTGCCCATGTCCTCCTCCTCATCCCCCTCATACTCCCCATACTGCTCATTCTCATAGTCTTCATACATGCTGTAGCCCTTGCTGTCCATCTTGGAGTAGGCCTTTTTGGGCAGGGGCGTGTTGTGCGATGGAGGGTATTGCTGGTGGGACTGGGCCCAGGAGAGAATCAGGAAGAGAGGGTGAGTCAGGCCTCATGGACTGGGGTCAGAACCACCAAGGTTCCCAAGGATTCCTGAACTGACTTATCTGAGAGTCTCTACTGTCCCTGGGTAGAGACCACTGCTGGGCCTCAACCACTATGGAGACCAATCTATCAGGGGGCCCACATATTTCTGTCTTTCAGAAACAGCTAACGCTTGAAAGAAAACTGAGATTCAGACCCCATGATCCCTGAAAAGCCAAGGGCAAGAGGCAGTATTTTCCAAGAATGCAGAGCAAGAACATTTGGGGAGGGGCCTATAGGTAGGAAGAGTGCTTCTCGGTCAAAATTTTTTTAGGGCCCATAGCACACAGCCTACAATCCCAGCAATTCAGGAGGACCTCAAGTTTGAGGCCTTCCTGTGCAACTCAGTGAGAACTAAAGTAACCTAGTGAGACCCACTCTCAAAACAAAAGCCAAAAGGGCTGGGGGTCTAGCTCAGTGGTAAAGTGCCCCTGGGTTCAATACCTAGTACAAAAAAAAATTTTGTTTTTCCCTGTATGGCCTGGAAATCCAATTTAATGATCTGCTTTTTTTAGTCAAACTAGACAGCTGTTTGAATTGTTGTTTTACAAAGGTGTCCTAGTGCCAAAAAGTGCTGGATGAAGAAAAAACAAACATTCAAATGGAAGCAACCAAGATATCCTTAAAAAAAAAAGTCCTTCAATAGTTATACAAACAAAGTGTGGTTTACCCAGACAATGGTGCATCATTTAGCAATGAAAAGAAATGAGCTACAGAGCAATGAGAAGTAACACAGGAAACGTAAGTGCATAGTGCTAAGGCCAGGCACAGGGTGCACACACAGAGTTCCAGCTGCTTGGGAGGCTGTATTGCCTGGGCAATACAGGCAGACCCCATTTCAAAAACAACAACAACAACAAAAACCCAAACATATTGCTAAGGGAAAGAAGGTAGTCCAAAAATGCTACAGATGATTCCAGCTATGACATTCTGAAAGAGCCAAAACTGTAGAGACAGTAAAAAGATCAGTGGTCTGCAGCGAAGTTTTTTGGGCAGTGAAACTACTGTGAAACTGTAACAAAATCCAAAGAGCTACAGGACCCTAACAGATTGGACCATGATGGATACAAATGTATCCAGCAGGTTCATGAATTACAACAACTTATCACACCAATGCAATATGTTAATAACAGGAAAATGAAGAGAAAGACAAGCAAAGGGAACCCTGCACTGCCTGCTCAGTTTTCTGTAAACCTAAAACTATTGTACAAAATAAAGTCTATTGATTTAAAATATCTACAATAGTCATAGTAAAACTCAAAATACAGATATATAGACATGCTCAGAAATTCTTGAGCATATCTCAAAAGGCCTCAAAACTCTCATTCACAATTCAAGCCCATGCTGTCCCCTCCATTCCTGGCCTCTCTCAGATCTGAATCTTCTCAGCTATGCCATTGGACAATCTTCCACTATGATGGATGACGCTGAGTCATAGGATGATGCTGTCTCTCCAGCTTTAAAAAGAGCTACTAACTTTTCAACATTTCTTATCAGAATCTGAAAATTCACATAGATTCCTTTCTTACGGGTTCTTCTGGTGGAAAAAATGTACACACTCTGAACAAATAACACAAATTTGTTCTTAAGCTCAGAGATGTAATGGGGTATTTAACTTCCCACTACGCAAGCCTTGAGATAATTTACTCTCCTGGCCATTTCATTCTTTTGCCAATTTCCCACAAAAGATCACTTATGAATGTCAGAAAGCAGTCAGCTGTGACCTGAGGCAGTGAAACACACTGAATCCTGCTGAAGCCCAGGGAGTCATGTGCCGAAAAGGCTCAGGAGCGAGCCTTATGGAAATCAACCACTGCCTGGGTTCAAATCCTAGCTCCTCCACTGACAACTGGGTAGCCTTCCTAAAATTTTCTAAAGACTCAGTTTCCTCATCTATAACATAGGATGAAACAATACTTGGAGCTGGGAATGTGGCTCAGGCGGTAGCGTGCTCGCCTGGCATGCGTGCGGCCCGGGTTCGATCCTCAGCACCGCGTACAAAACAAAGATGTTGTGTCCGCCGAAAACTAAAAATAAATATTAAAATTCTCTCTCTAAAAAAAAAAAAAAAGAAAGAAAGAAAAAAAAGAAACAATCAATACCTAACATCACAGAATTAAAATCTATGTAAATGTGGGTAGCTGTAGACTCCTGGAGCTATGAGCCCCAGGATAAACCCTGGGAGGCTGTAGGCCACCCCTCTTCCTCTCTTAGAAAAGACAGTGCTGGGGACTCTATCTTGCCTGGGAGGAGTATAGGCAGAACTGCTAGAATTTAAAGGCGGACTAGGGGTGCAGCTCAGAGGTAGCACAGCAGGGCCCTGGGCAGTGCCACTCACAGGTGCATATGGGGGGCTGTATTCCCGGTACTTGCGGTGCCCCTTCTCGCTGGGGCTGAAATCCGAGTCATCTGAGAAGTCAGAGAAATCATCACTGGAAGAAGCATGGCGCTGCAAGGACAAGGGAAGTGGAGTTAGCAATGTGCTAAAGGCTACACTGGCACAAGAAGCCCCAGGACAGGCAAGGCTGGAATGTGCCAGAGGGCCCTGTGCTCCAACCAAAAGACCTCACCTGGGGCACTCAGTGGCAATGAAGCATAAGCTCTTTAAAAGAAAAGTCTTTACCCACTTCAGGGCAGGAAGAAAACATCATTATTGAGAGTGCCCTCAGGCAGGCCCGTGCAGGAGCCTTCCTGGACCTACTTTGTGCTTGGATTTCCTCCTCTTCTTCGACCTCCGCTTCTCCTTCTCCCGCTCTTTCTTCCGTTTCCGCTTCAGTCTCCGGTGAGACTTCTCCTCATCCGAGTCACTATGGTGCTTTTCCCCCTTTTCTTTCCGACTCCTCTCAGGCCCTCCGGGGGTGTCTTGGGTCTCCTCAGCCCCATCATCTTCCAGTTCACCTTCCTCCAACTCACCATCTTCCCTACAAACCAACCCCAAAGTCAGCATGAACCCGTGGGTGGGACAGAACCCAAGGACTCTGGGCTGGAGGAGGTCCAAAAGCCATGGGGCAAGAGCTGCAAGCCCCAGACAGACCCTTCCTCTCTAGAAGGGCTGTGCTTAGGATTCTAACTTGGCTGGGAGGGGTGCACATAGAGAACTCCTAGAATTTAAAGGCCCCACCACTAGCAGACTAGGGGCGTAGTTCAGAGGCCTTGCAGGTGCTCCATTCCCAGCAGAGAGAGACACAAAGAGAAAGCTATGCCACTAACAGGGACAAACCCACACCGGGATTTTCCATAGGTTGAGTTTTAAACAAGAAAAGTGGCAGGTTCTGTGGTCATGTGAATAAGTCTCACCCTGGGTACTGTCAGAGGGTTCCCAGAAGCCCTGCCGTGCAGCACCCACTCAGCTCTGCTCTGGAGCATTTACAAAACTCGCCTGATCACAGAAGTTCCAGATCTCAGGGAACCCGGACTGTGTCCTCCCACAGCAAAATGACCTGCTGCCCAGGGCCTTGGCCCCTGGAGCCGCCCAGCCAGCTGAGCATCTGCTCTACATCTGAACAAGGCTGAGAGGGCCATGGTTCTCAACCAAGACTACCCCTCAGCTTTCTGGTTGCCCACAAACAGGCCTCAGAACACCAATGCACCCTACAGAGGCCCACAATCACCACTGGTGAAGAGGCTCTGGCCTCCACTTCTGGTCTGGGGTTGGAGGTCACAGATAGACAGGGACACCACAGAGGAGAAATGTCTCAATCCCCTAATGAGGTCCTCACATGGTAGGTGACCCTGCCTTCTCTCCCTCCTGACATGCCTGGCCTCCACGTTTCCCTTCTGGACCCCTCCTACAGAGTTCCTGGCTTTGTCAATCCCCCCATGGCCCACTACTTTAAAAAGTAAAAGTGGTCTCCAAACATGGAGACACCACCTGCAGGACATTGGATGTATGGGTGGGGTGAGGGAGGGAGAAATAGGGTTAAGGAGGGAGCAGGAAGAAAAGCAGTCCAACTTTCAAGCCAAACCCACAGACAGTTCTCACAATTACAGAAGTTGGTAAAGGAAAAAAAAAAAAGTAAAATTTTTAAAGCTCCCAAATTCCTCATGAATGACCACCGCAAGGTCCATTGTAAACATGAAAATCTCTTCCATCTCAATTGATTAGGGCACAAAAAGAGACTAAGGTAAGGTCAAGAGTAACGGAATAGGGGATGGGATTATAGCTCAGTGACAGAGCAAGCAATGGAGTAAATGGAATGGGCCAAGGATCCAAAGCGATAACCCAAGGGGAATGGACCTCGGTAGGGAGGCTGTAGCTTAGGGAAAACAGCCAGTCAGGAGCCCCAAAGGCTCTAAGGTGAGCTCTGGAAAAGCAACAAACTGCCACTTCCTGAGAACTCTCCACAGCCCTTTCACCAGCACTGTTCCCTTGGCCCACCTCAGGGATGCTCCCAAACACTAAGGAGGCCCTCAAGAGGGGCTTCTGTGTTAATCTCACGCCATTTTAAAGTGGACAGGTCTCGTTTCAGTGCCAAGTGGCCCAGCCCTGCACATACCCAGAGGCAGAGGTCAAGGGCCACTTCTGAAACAGATTATAGGACACAAAGCTCTTTCTTCTATTTCAAAGTAAACAACAAAGAGAAGTGACCATGTGCAGCTCATGTTGTTCCCTCCTAAACCACCAGGTTGTCCCCAGCTGCCCCTACAGGCAGACGCTGATCAAAGGTGGGATCAGGGTGGGGCAGAGGGCAGCATTCCTGACAAGTGAGGCACCTTCCCACAACACTAGCCAGGGTGGCCTCGCCCACGCTGAAAGCACCACCTGAGGATGGGCACATGCCAGAGGCACAGCGTGTGTCTGCATGTGCAAGACCCTGAGTTCCATCCCCAGCACCACACACACCCCACTTGACTGGGGAAACTGGTTGGGTCCTGAGTGAGAAACTGTTACTCAGTGACACAGCAAACTTCCTGCTCTGCAATCACTGTGAGATGGCGCCTGGAGCAGAGCAACTGACTGGCCCGTCCCTGATGGGAATACTGTGGGCAGGCCAGAGCCACACCTTGGAGAAACAGGGGACAGACTGCGTAGGCTGCAAGTCCATGCAAAAATGCTGAAGAGAGGACGGCCCTCCTCACTGTAGTGTGGAAAGGGCCAGCCTGAGAGGGAGGTCATCGCTGTCTTATAACTCAATCCACAAAGCAGTCTCCATGATACAGGCGGAAGATCCTACCTAGGGTCCGCCGAGGCCTGCACTCTAGGCTCACATGCCAGGGCGCAGGGGCCAGCTGCTCGACATCTAACACACAGGAATAGGAGGGTGGGGGACGTGACAAAAGACCATCTGTGGAACTCGAAAACCCTAACCACTATCCAGAATGATTCTAGAAGAAAGCCTGTCCATTACGAAGGCCTCATCAAGACTGGGAGGACAGCACACAGCTCCAGCCTACGGAGCATTCAGCCAAGGAGTCCTTGCCCCACCTAAACTAACAGTCATGGGCACATCCAGGCTTGGCACGAATCAACCACATTCTGCACAAAGCAGGCAGGGAGAACCTGGAACTTTTTTTTTTTCTTTCTAGAATTGAGAAAAGCTGAAAAAGAAACAGGAATTAAAGAAAAAAAAATCACTGCTGATTTATAAAGGGGCATTGGGATGGTGACACTGGATGGGTTGCTGGGCATTCCCAGTGCCATCTAGTCTTGGCATGCCTTCAGCCCCCAGAGTCCCAGGATAACCTCTGCAGGTGGTTATTACATAGGAGACACCCTCCCTGCATGAATATTAGGTCTGGTTATTTCCTTCAAACTCTGTTCAACAGAAACAAAACAAAACAAAAAAAAAGAAATCAAGCCCACTGGGAGAGCTGGGGAAATCCTGAGGGCCATCCACACCACTGCACAAAGGCAGCCTTCACAAAACAGCAACCAGGTTTAAGCAGTGCCACTTAACAGGCTGCCAGCAAAATCCATGTCAGAGTGGGATTAAATACCAAGGGAGCACGCTTAATAGACTGTGACATAATCCCCCAAGAAAAGTGGGGGAAGCCCCACTGCGCTAATCATTTCAATCTAGACCTGCCAAACCCTCTTGAGACAAGCACGTGGGAGAAAGCCTGCAGTGGCGGCCTGCACAGAGACCGCTTCATTCCCACAGCCCAGACTGGCAATGCCCCTACACGGCCACAGCTGGCTCTACTGCCAGAGCCATCAGGGACAAGAAATTAGTTGCACTGGGAAACGCTTGGAACTGGCCCCCAGGAAGAAATAAAAAAAGGCCAAGAGGTAGCTCTGCCTCCAACTTCCTGGACAAAGCTTCCATGGCATCCAAGTTTCCATTTTGAGAGCTGGCTGCTCCTCCTCTTGGGTCAAAAAATAGATCTAGACGCCTGGCCTGGCCAATACCAACTGAGCCAACTCCACAGGGCCTGGAAGCATGCAGGGTTCATCACATACCACAGACTTGGCAAAAACAGTACTTGGAAATGAGATCTCATTTCCACAGCAGGCTGGTGGAAGGGACAACATGCTTCTTCCTACAGACCCAAGAAACTCCACCAGCTTGGCCTCTACCCTAACATGTGCTCCTGCTATGTGACCCAACCCTTGGTTTTCTAGTCTGAAGAACGAGATAACAGCAGTACCTACCTCAAGGGCTGTGAAGGCTAAATGAGATAATATGAATAAAGTCCTGGTCATGGGGCAGGCACACAAGTTAAATATTAGTTACTTACTGGTTTTAAGAACCAGTCAGAACTAGGCGAGATGGTGTACACCTATAATCCCAGAGGCCCAGGAGGCTGAGGATCTCAAGTTCAAAGTCAGCCTCAGCAACTTAGCAAGGCCTCAAGCAACTTAGAGAGACCCTGTCTCAAAATAAAAAATAAAAGGGGCTGGAGATATGGCCAGTGGTTAAGCATTTCTGGGTTCAATCCTCAGCATCAAAAAAAAAAAAAAAAAAAAAAAAGCAACCCAGTTACAATCAGCATGCCTCATGTGGACAACCCTACAATGGCTGGAATGCTGCCCAGGAAGCACACATCACCTTCCTGAGGGGACACTGCTATCTGCTAGCCAACAAGCTCCCACTCACTTGGCCCAACTGTGCCCAACCATTCTCTCCCAACCAATCCTGCTGGTCAAACTGAAAAAAATCAACATCTCCCCTTCCTTAGCTCTAATCTATGTGGTACTGGAAGGCAACCCAGTGACTACCCAAGAAGAAAAGACACGGGAGAGCTGAGACCCAGGAAGAAGGGACAAAGGCCCCTGTGAGAAGAAAGCTTGCAACATGGCAACTCTCTACACAACAGGGTTGGAAGAAGCTGGGAGGGGCCAGGGGCCTGCGGCTCTACCTGGTTTACGAGGGAGAAAAGAGGCAAACACAGAAAGATGGAAGCTCATGGGAACAGTGGCTGTTACCTGAAGATCATGAGGCGGCTAGGTTAATGTGAAGGTCAGGGTTATGACCATTAACTGCCCAGACTCTCAACAAATTGCCTGGGTAGGCTCTGAATGACCCATTAACTAGGGACAAAATCACAAAAATTACAAAGAGGCTCCACCTCTTCAAATGTTTAACGACCAGCCTAAGTGCAGGAGCCGAGGATCGCAACCTGACCCTGTAGACGGCCGCTCACTAGAGCGAAGGCACAGGCCTTTCCATGAGAAGACTGGCTCAGGGGCTGCGCCCACGACCTTCCCTGATTTAGGAAGTAGTAGAGCAGCCCCGCGGGGAAACTGAGGGCGTTTCAGAACCAAGAAATTCTTGAAATAAACCTCTGGGTCTTGCACGTGTTTTTCAGTGTCCTTACTACCTAGTTCATCAATCAGAAACCAAGAGCAAATGGGGGCTTTCCCTTCCCCTCTTCAGAATTCTTAAGTGTAGTCATAACCTGCTCTGTGATGTCACAACATTTCCATGGAAACCTGCCCATAATATGGCACCAGCCGAGTGGCAGGCACAATGCCACCTGG